CAGAACAATATCCAGTTAGGAGACAAATAGAAACATAAAAATTCTGCTGTTTAAAACATGAGAGTAAAGTGAGTGAAAAAAATCAACCTCAAACAGGCAACAGGGTTAAACCACACCTCAGGAAGTCTGACCACTGGTAACTGTTTTTTATCCGGGCACATCCCACTTAGTAAAATTGCTACAATCAGCACAAAGACAGTGAAAACCTGGCCAGAGGCAGGATGGCTTCATCAGGATGCACTGAGATATTTTCAAACACCCTGACCTGTAGCTGGTTTTTGAAAGCATACTGTGCTACATGAAGAACTGTATAGCACAGCTGCACAGTAGCACAGACTAAAGAGCTCCACAGGGTTATACAGGTTGCCCAGAGGATAGTCGGCCATCCTTTGCCCTCACTTGAAGAACTGCACAGCTCCCGCAGTCTCAGGAACATGAAGAAAATCCTTCAGGATCCATCTCACCCAGGTCATGCACTGTTTGAACGTCTACCTTCACGCAGACATTTCAGAGCCATAAAGACAAGAACTAACAAACTAAGGAACAGCTTTTATCCCTCAGCCATCACCATGCTGAACACTGAACAATCAGATCCAACACAACTCTCATATACAGTGTTTACATTGTTACAGCACAGTCTCATGTTTACACCTGCAGGTACGGCTGGTATTTAAATCAACACTGTAACACAGAAACATTTGTTTTATTGTTTGTTATTAAAACAAAATCTGAAACTTTTCACTGCAAGGTCTCATTTTTCTCCTCAATTTGAACTTTTGGAGCTCACACACCTTTCTTAATAGGTGTAAATATTTTTGTGTGTTTAATTGATGTTTTTTGGAGAGCACATTCTCTGTAAGGGCGAGTCCTTAATCTAACAATTTTTGACTTGAATCAAAAATTGTGATCACATAATAACCTCTTGATCTGGTAGAAATAAAACAACTAAAAAAAAAAAAAAAGTAAACTCACGAGTTTCTTTAACTGTGACGTCACTGCTGTCCTCTGTGTAGTAAACTGGATTTCCTCTCCCTCCTCTGCAGTGGTACAGACCTTCTTGTGAGACACTAATAACTCTGTTTGCTTCATTTCCTCTCATGAGCTGAGCTTTAGAAGAGACTGAATCACGTCTGAGCCAGTCAAACTTCCAGCCAGCAGAGCCCTCCACAGAGCAGCTCAGTGTCACACTGCCCCCTGCTGGTAGGATTGAACTGTGTGCTGTCAGTGTGGCTCTGGGTTTACTTGCTGCTGAAGACACAAAATAAGTAAAACATTAAATCATCCTCATGAATAAACTTGTTACAGCACTGATCAAACTTTAAACATTCACTGATTAATTTATCTACAAACAGAAACAGAAGGTAGTTTGTGTTGGAGCTCTTTAAAGTACCTGCAAGGACAGCATGCTAATGCTAAGCTAGCCAATAACCAAGAGTTACGAACTTCATCGTAACAAACTGATGAGCAGTCAGGCTGCAGCTCCATTTCTACCTGTTCATGTTTCTACAGTAGAATCACCATGACGACCGATTTAAGGTCTTTTTGTGCTGATTTTGTGTAAGAATTTTTTTGCTTTACT